CCCTCAGGTATTCCATCTTCCTACCCCTTCATTTCTGCTAATCTTGAGCCTTTAGCTCACACTTCTTCTTTTGCAGGTCCTTCTTTGATGCATCAGCCTGATGCTCAAGAAGTGGAAGATGGAGAAAGAGAGAAAGATGATGGAGGAGATGAGGATGTCGATGATGACTATGACATGGCATCAGACATCAAGCTTCTCCTTCCAGCCGTTGATACCGTCCTTTCCAGGGTCAACGAAGTTCACCAAGAGATGCCCCGCCAAGGCGATCTTGATGCGAACTTCCTAGCCCTCCAGGCAGACGTTCAAGAAGTTCAGAATCAGCTCCAAACTCTCCAAGAAGCTGTTCACGCCAACAACGACGCCATTGCTGTTCTTCACAGTAGGGCTGACGATGCACATGCGATTGCTGATCAGCAACTTGGACTTCTTCAGCAAATCCTGGATGCTGTCCGTCAACCAGCTCCAGTGAGTGCACCYTCTTTYWYTGYCGATGATCGCGCCCAGCTCCATGAGACGCGTGAGGCAACGACAACTCTAGCCAATGCTTTGCAAAGGCTAGAGGATTTCATGGTTCTCCAGCGTCAGCGCTTGGACGAACTCTCTAGCCAATTCTCTCTAGTTTTAGCCAGAGAGGAGGAGATGAGGTCCAACGCTAGTGGAACATCAGATGCTGCTCCTACAGCTTCTTAGGCTGTTGGTCCAGTATCAGCTTCAGTTGCAGTTGAAGCTGAGGCTGTTGAAGCTGAGGCTGTTGAAGCTGAAGCAGTTGCTGCTCCTATAATCATGACCACCGAAGCTGCTCAAGCGGAGGTTGTCGAAGCCATCCTTAGGGATGATGTCCATACCGTCACTGCTGCTGGTGATGATGATGATGTTGTTGAGGATGAAGATGATGATGAAGATGATGATGAACCTGTCATTCCAGACACCGGAGATGATTTAGATGGTGACGACGACGGCGATGATGAAGATGACTTCACCATCAAGTTCCAGAAGCCATCAACCGTCACTAGAGGTGTTGCCCTCGGGGAAGCTCAATCCCAAGGGGAGCAAAGACAAGGCGAATCGACTCCATCAGAGCAGCAGGACCCCAAGTCGAAAGGCAAGGCGGTCGCTGAAGAAGGCAACTTGAAGGTACTTTTCGCAAGCCCTCAACAAACCTTATTTGAAGACTCTACCTCTCAGGTAGTGATCACTTCAGAGTACCAACTTCATATCCCTTCAACAACCTGCGGTCGACTGGAGTGGGTATCTGATCAACCCAGCTCTTATACTCCAACAGACCAACAGATGTCTCAGCTTAAGGAGTCACTTGACCAGACTAGAGTAAAAATTCCTCTTCGTACCTCTAGTGGTGGTGAGTTTGACTTCCTTTCTGAAGCTGAAAGACTCGAGGCATTAAGGGCAGAAGAAGAGCTAGAGCTTCAAAGGAAGCAGACTGAAGACAGCTTAAAGCTGGCCAAGTCTCTAGCTGCTAAAGTCCTTCCTAAGAAAAAGTCCAAGAAAACGGTGAATGTTGTCCAAGCCCAAGCTAAACTTCTTTCTATGGCAAAAGCTGAACGCAAGAAGAAGCTGAAGCTAGTGGACAAGGATAAGCAATGGAGCGAATCAAAGCTGAAAAAGAGACTCAATCCCCGCCCAATCATCAGCGTCAGCATCAGCGGACGATCTAAAGACGGTGGAACACTGGTCTCAATGCTCATCACCAGGGACAATCTTGATGCCGTTACCGAGCACCCTTCCTACCTTGGCCGCAATGGATATAGCGAATGGATGGAGATCAGACAAGCCATTCAACAATCCAAGTCGAGACACAAGAGACTTATCGAGGACACCATCAAAGAACTCATCAAAAGGATGTCCAGGTATGTCAAGGTCCTTGACAGGCCAACTCTGAAGAAAGGTGGGAAGAAGAAAATAAAGCTCTCTGATCCTAATGAAGGACCATCCCTAAGGAACGAACATAAAACAAGGTTCTTCTTAGATGAAGTCCTGAAGGGTCATATGAGTGTCGACATTTCTATGCTGAATCTTGACTTGCCAGATAAGGGTCCCTATACACCCAACTCTGTGCATTTTAAACCTGAGTTAGGAGTTATATTCCTTGACTATGAAGGTGAAGTCAGATTTCAGAGAGTGTCAGAGCTACATCTATGTCCAATGGATCACTTGGCGTATCTCTTGCAATGGATAGATGATAGCATGCCTGAAAAAATCGTCGATCTGAAGATACGAAGGGAATTCCTACGTCGACAAAACCTTGGTGAAAAATGTACCTGATTACATAGATTTAAGTGTTCTAGAATAAGATTCTCTTTGTAACAACAATCCACTTTTCCTTGTAATTCTTTTTCTATATCTTCTTTCATTGATTGTATTTACATTCTGTAAATTCTGAACATGTACTGTAATACTTGTATTATTTCCATTAATTAGTATAATGAGTATTCCATGTACTTCACTGAAAAAGATCCCTGAAAAAAGTAATAGGGACACAAGTCTATGAGTTCCAATGTTACTTTCATCATTCATTGACAATCTATAAATCAGTGAATAAGCTTTCAGTTTCAGTTTCCGTCCTTCTAATTTTCTTAGATATAACTTAAGAAAACTTCTCAAGCTGAAACTAACCAAACTGAAAAAGATCCCAAAATAGTAAAAARRGACRTGTACGTTATATGTAACTTTTCCTTACTATTATTTGATAAGATAACTTTCTTTATGTTATCTTATTATCATCAAATAGGGGGAGATTGTTGATCCTCTCTCTTAGTAATTTGATGATAATCCCTTTTCCCTTTCACGTTGTATTTGTGTTTCTGTATTTTCAGTTCCAGCGATCATCATTGATTATGTTCAGTGATCGCTGAAGAACTTGCTTTGTAAATTCATCAGAGACAGTAATACTTCAAGAAGACAACACTCACACCAAAGAACCTTCAGCGAACGTCGAAGACTGAAACTGAAGATTAGAGACCGGCGAGTACGTGATTTGAAGCGGTATTAAGTGATTACAAGCCTGACTACATATGTGTGAAGACTGCTCTAGCTTCAGTGAATGATGATGAGACCTCCAGGTCATTCCAGCATTCAACGATCAAAGGAAGCTTGCTTAGCACAATTGTTGTTGTCTTGTTCTTATGCACACAAAGGACAAACCCATACCCTTGTAAAAGTTAGTACGGTACAGAGCCGATTAGTCGACTYTTTGTCCACCAACTTTAGGCAAGGATGTCTGCTCAAAAATAGTGCTTTTGTACTATTCACTGTAGCAAAGGACAAGCCTTCCTCTTAAGGCTTGACACGCACTCTAAACCTACCATATTGCATTAAATGTTCATTTAATGCATTGGGTATAAATAGAAGTGTTTCTTCTCCATGCAGAGTGCGCGCATCTTTCTGCTATCCTATTCTTACTTCAAGCATCTTCTAGCTTAAGTAAAGGATCTTCCTTTTAGCAATCTCTTTTCTTGTATTTGTTGAAGATCTGTGTGTAACCAAAGATTGTTTAGATAGGTTTTCTTTAACTTATCTTTCCACAAACAGTCTTGTAAAATCTGTATTGATCTTCTCTGTCAATATATATTTTAAATTTGAAAATACCGTGTTTGTATTCATCCCCCCCTTTTACAAACTGTTTCTATTCTTGTAGACCCTTACGAGACCAACAATAACAACAAAAAGTATGAAGGTCAGCAACAAGTATATAACAACAAACAACAACAAGTAGATAACACCAATACCTGAATTGTGAATCCAGCCACCTAACATAACACAAAGTTCAAAACTTTTGTTGTATGTCTGTATGCAAACAACAACAGAATAACAACAACCAAATCTGTTCTTACCTAGTATGCAAACATCAAGAGCCAAATATGTCATATCCATAACAATATAAGTATATAACACCAACAAATATGAACTATGAACTATGAACTATGAAATGTCTAAATGGGTATCATTCACATCCTTATATCATAGTCCTTCCTTCTCATGTTGGTAAGTGTTCTTATTCTACTACTAGTCTTAAATGGAGAACAACAACATAGTTAAAAACAACAACATCCAAGATCCAAAAACAGCAACAAGAATGAAATGTAGAACAACATTGTTAAAATGTGAAGTGCAAAACAACAACATAGTTAAAATGTGAAGTGCAGAACAACAAGTATATAATAGCAAACAACAACAAGTATATAACACCAATACTGAATTGTGAATCCAGCCACCTGCAATAACACAAAGGTCAAAACTTTGGCTATATGTCTATATGCAAACAACAACAACAAACAACCAACATCAACAAAACAGCAACAACCAACAACAATAGCCTACCTAGTTACTATGAATTAATAATGGTGAAAAAGCAAGAGCCAAGAGTGCAGATAAGCAACATACATAGTTACTATGATAAAATTTATGCTAATCAAAACAATATACAATATCAAAATGACATATTTGTCATATCCATAACAATATAAGTAATTAAGTATATAACACCAAAATCCAAATCATATAGGACTGTAGAACACAAATTAAGAGAGTAAAACAAAACAATGACTAAAATCTATTCCTCTAGGCCTAATAAGCAAAGTGGCCACTTATAAAACAATGACTAAATACCTTTCAAAGTGGCCACTTCTAAATATTGTTCAATTATTCTACAATACATCATCTACCTCTAGATCATCTACATCAACTGTTGAAAGAGAATCCTCATGGTCAGTGACAAAACTTGAACTTCCAATTCTCATATTCATCATTTCTGCATTTATATAAACAAATAAAAAGAACGACATAAATATACAAATTCAAGTATATACTAACATAAGTTGAAAAGGAAGACTAAAATACATAATTAAAGTCGTACCTTTCTCAAATTTTTCAATATCATCTATGTTTTCTTCAATTGCAATTGGTTGACTAGGGTCTCTTAGCCAGTCTTGTGTACATATAAGGGCTTCTACCATTTTAGGAGATAGAGAACTCGTAAAATTATCTTACACCCTGCCACTGATACTAAAAGTCGATTCAGAAGCCACAGTTGAAATTGGAACAACAAGTACATCTCTAGCCAATTTTGAAAGGATAGGAAATCTTTCACTGTTAACCTTCCACCATCTTAAAATATTAAAATCGTTTGTATTATCTATGGTGGAGTCACTAAGATAAACTTTAAGTTCACTCTTTTTGTTGAGTGAAGTCCCACTTTCCATCTTTTGTTTCTTTAGTTGACTTTTTAATCTAGATTGTACCTTTCCAACGGGAACATTCTCACACTTAGCAGGTGGAGGAGGCATCATAATGGTAGAAGGTTCAGAATATGTTGAGATATACTTTTCAAACAACATATTCAATTTAGACTTTACCTTCTTAAAACATAACTTACCTTGATCCTCACCATACGTTTGATTAAGTTGGACTTGCATGTACTCAACCTTGTCTCTAGGGTCCAATATATTGCCAATAAAATATTACAAAGTTCATCTTATCTGGATCACCCTAATATTTACTAAACTTCTCTTTCATTTTACCACCCATTTGGTGTTCATAAATCAAAAACAAAAAGTTACTCAACAACCAAATATAAGTGAATATTAATATTGAAATTAAAGAAAGATAAACATACCTCTTCAGCTTTTGACTTAGATTGTGACATATCGACAATAATGCAACTCAAATATGAAATCTCATATAAGAAAGAATTTGAGGTGACATAAAGTGAGCCAGAAATTCTAATTGTCATCTCATAAAATGTCTTCAAAAATATCACCAAGCTGTGAACAGATGGCCAATCAAGATATGAAGGTACCGAATCACCAAAATCCAATGTCAACACGATGTAACTACTCTCATACGTCTCAAAAACTTGTCTGTAAGCTATTGCGGTGTGAAGCATCATAGAGGTGGAGTTCCATCTAGTTGGAACATCAAGACATAAAGAACTTTTCTCTTCTACTTCAAGCAAATCTGCAAGCTCTCTAAATTTCTTCAACCTAGATGGAGAACCCTTCACCCACCTAATGAATCCCTAATCTTCTTAACTGATGTATCTACTAATTTCAAACCATCTTGTACAACCAAATTTAGAATATGAGCAATGCATCTCATGTGTATGTACTCGGTCCTAGTAGAAGAACCACCCCAATTCACCACTTTATTCTTAATGAACCCAATGGCAATATCATTGCTTGATGCATTATCAACTGTGATAGTGAATATATTTTTTACTCCCCAATCAAGCAAACAACTTTCCATGGTTTTAGCTATATTTTCCCCTTTATGTGAATGTATAGGCACAAATGAGATGATCTTTTTATTTAGTTTCCATTTATCATCAATAAAATGTGCAGTGACATACATATAATTGATTCTTTGGACAGATGTCCAAGTATCAATAGTCAAACTAATGCGTTGCATGCTTGAATTCAACAGTTTTTTAAGGTTCGGCTTTTCTTCAAAGTAAATACTAAATATATCCCTATTAACTATCCATCTAGAAGGGATTTTAAATCTAAGGCATGCAGCTTCAACAAACTGTTTAAAACCCCTCCCTTCAACAAAGCTAAATGGAAGTTCATCCATTATACTCACCTTAGCTAACGTCTTTCAACCAACCTCTTGGTTAAAAACCCAAGATGTCAAAGCACAATCACTATTATCACATTTTGCAGATTGAAATGCAAGAATGGATTGTTTTGTATCCTTAGCATGTGGATTTTTTAGACAAGCGTGCATGTGGCTATTTAAAGATGAAGTACCATGCTTTTTAGCCTCGGCTGCATATATTTTTGAACAGTATAAACACTTACCTTTAATGACTAGCCCATCATCGTTTAAAATCTTCTCAAAATGATCCCATACTTGAGATCTGGATTCTAACGTTTTCCTCTTCCTTGTACTTTCCAGAACAGATTGCTTACGATAGGATTAGATTGTAAAGGAGGAGGTTGATGACTGTTACTTCCGGACTGAGACATGCTAACTTTTTCCATCTATAATTCTAAACAATAAATTAACAATTAACAAGTTAACAAGATTAATGAGTGTTCAAACACATTAATGTATATGTTTCTATAATTAATGTGTTACAAAGTATTTTAGCGCGTATAAATATAAAAGATGAGACACAAACACATTAAAGTATATGTTTCTAAAATTAATGTGTTACAAAGTATTTTAGCTCTCTTGTCCTTTCATTTTTAATACAACTATATGTAACTAACATAACTAAGTAGCTAACGAAGTTGGAGATCCCACTTCTAAATTCTAATTGATTGTTTCAAACACCTCCCAGTTCCCAGTATCTGCCTTATTCTAAACAATATAACAAGGATGACCAAGTAATACAAGGTTGCTAAAGCATGTAGATTTTGATGGTATTGATGAATTAGAATAGAAAAATTGAAGAAACAGAAGTGTGAATAGGGGATATTGTTGGTCCCAGCCGAGTCTACAAGAGTTAAGAGATCAACAGTTTGTAGAAGGGGGGATGAATACAAACACAGAAAACTTTCACTTTTAAATATATATATATATATATATATATATTGATATAGAATGATCAATAAATATTTTTTGCGGAAATAGAAAAAGGTAAAAATAACCTATATAAAACAATCTAAGATTACACACAAATATACTTAGCAAATATAAGAGATTTTTCGAAGAAGATAAAAACAGAAAGATGTTCTTCTTGGTAGAATTTTAGAATTAGAGAGAAATTCTAACATCCTTGAAGATAAGCGTATGTGTTCTTTTGTGTGTTTTTAAATGTAGTGCATGAGGAGAGCACTCAGGTATTTATACCCATTGCATTAAATGCAATTCAGAAAGGTTAGAACACACGTCAAGCTTTAGAGAAAAGCTTGTTCTTTGCAACAGTGAATAGTACTATTGTCTATTCATGAGCATACATTCTTTCATCAAGTTGGTGGGCACTAGAGTCGACTACTCGGCTCAGTGCAGTATTATACTCTTGAAAGGGTATGGGTTTGTCCTTTGTGTGTGAAAGGACAAGACATAAACAATCGTTCATGGGAAGATTCATATGATCGCTGAATGCTGGAATAACGCTGGAGGTCTCTTCAGCCTTTACTGAGGCTTGTGTAGTCTTCACACATATGTTGACCAAGTAGTAATCACTGAATATCGCTTCAGATCACGAACGCGCCAGTCACTATTCTTCAGTTTCAGTCTTCGACATTCACTGAAGGTTCTTGGGTGTGAGTTTTGTCTTCTTAAAGTATCGCTGCCACTGTAGGATTACAATGCATGTTTCAGCGATCACTGAACAGACTCAGTGATGATTGCTGGAACTGAAAAAACAGAAATATAATACTTTGAAAGGTAAAAGGGATTTATGATCAAATCAATGAGAGAGAGGATCAACATATATTTATCATATTATCATGTATGGTAATAGTCAATTAGCCAATTAGGTAAATTATATTCATACATAACTGAATCAACTGATGAACACCAAAAGAAGAATGGCAGCTTACACTTACAGTGAGTTGACTGTTAAGACTTGAGAGGAAAGAGCACACACAGTGGTCAGTGAAAGACCAAGAGAGCACACGCCAGACGACCAGAGAAGAAGAGCGAGTCGAGAGTAGAGAGCTGTAGTTGAAAATTTTGTAATGTTGTAGCCGATCGAAAAAGGCAGAGCACGAGTGCACGAAGGTGGTACTGGTCGATCGATTGAAAATTAGAACTCTAAGCAAATTTTTGTGTTCTTCGGGTTTCGGACGGGTTCGGGTTTTGGATCATGAGATCCTACCCGAACCGACTAACCCGAGATATTTTTCGGATTTCGGACCTCGGGTTGGTTCGGGTGATAAACGTAGGTCCGGATCGGGGTTTTTCGGTAGGGTTTTTCGGGTTGGGTCAGGTTTTGCACACCCCTATATGCGTTTACCAAACAACACAAACACACACATTATAATTATCTATGCATGCATTCACATATACATAAACATGATATATAAATAACACATATACATGAGAAAATAGGAAAAATAGGCTAATCCTTCATTAATTAACGACAGATGCCCCATGTTCATTGCTAATTAGTGAGAGAATAGTTTCGTCTCTAAAAAACGTCGCTAATAACCAGTTTTCTATTATTATGAACATGGAAAGAATTGGGAATCTTACCAGGTAAGAATGATGACAAGGACCAAGAGTTTTACTCGGTAAGTGAGAGTAACCACTCTTACCCTATGTGCTTACCGACAAAGTTGTTGCATGCGATGTCAGTTTAATGGACTAAAATCTTACCTGGTAAGTTAAGTTAAAGTGTTGAATCTTACCAATAAATATCAGGTAAATGATCCCTAAATACTTTAAATGCTCTCAATCCGACCAATGAGGCAGCTCTATGTACATAACGTAAAACTTTATAATTGATATTTACAAGCTTTTGTTTTGTTCATGAAGGATTAATCGTTTGTTAATTTATCGACTAATTAAGCTTTCTATTTCTTTCCATTAATTTGATAATTTGTACAACACTTCAATGAAAATATTATAATACATATACTCATAGCACCTCAATTATATGATTTAAAGCAAAGAATGCATTTTTATAAGTAGTACATTTTCATATATCGATTACCTTTTGTTGCTACGAAAAGTTTGAGATGTATCACTAAAAATTTTGTTATTATATTATAGAACTCAAACAAACTGTTGAACAACCATACCAGTATTGTTATTACGAAGGGTTAGAAGATCTTTTTCCAAAAAAAATGTTCGACTAAATCTATCTAGCCAACCCTATAAGTTGCCACAAACAGGCATCATCTCCTCGTGTAAATAAATACTCACATTTTCATAAATACTTTCATCTTCTCACCAATGTGGGATTACCAAACTCGTTGTATTTCAAATTTATATAAAGTCTTCCTTCATTTTTTTTATACACCTTCATTCTCCAATATAACATTCTTTTGTGAATGTTGGATCACTAAAACAACTTTTTTTTTTTTGCAAAAAGAGGGTCATCCATAATAATACAGCCCCATGAGTCAATCCACATGAGTTGACACAAAGATATCTCATCTTTTTTTTTTTTTTCATATACACACTTTTCTATTCCAATGAGACAAGTTAAACTTAACTACAATCCACCATTTAAGAATACTCAATTCTCACAGTGCCACCTCAAGTATCCATGGTTGTTCCTTTTATATATGTGAATATAAAGAATAAAACTCAAACGACATGTCACACGAACATATCATTGTTCTTGTTATAAAAGGTTTGAATTTATTTTTTTCCAAAAAAAAGGTTCAACTAAAATTAGTCAACCTTATGAGTTGCCAGAAGTAGATATTCTCTTCTCTTATCAAAATATACTCACGTGTTTCATAACAACTTTAATCTTCTCACTGATGTGAGATTATCAAACTCACCACAAATTTTAAATTTATATAAAGTCGTCGTTCCAAAGACATCTCATCCTCATGTCATATACACACTCATTTATTTCAAATTTTCAACTTCTAATCAATGTGAAACAACTTAAACTCAACCACAAATCTACCTTATGAGAATACTCGACTTTCAAAATATCACCTCAAATACCCTTTGTTGTTCCTTTTTTATATATAAATATTAACAAACTCACCACATTTTAAATTTATATATAGTCGTTCTTCCTTTATTTCTTAAGGGGTGTTTGGAATTGCTTATTTAAAGAGATTATCGACTTATTTCGGTGTGGTACCGGTAATAAGCAGTTTTTTGTGTTTGGATGGAAAGAAAAAAAGAATGCTTATATCGGTTTGACACAGGTAATAAGGAGTTTTTGATAAGTTACTTCATTCTAACTTATCAAAAACAACTTATCAACTTTAAAAATCAAACTACCTTTTTACCCTTTTCTTTAACCCTAGAGAATTCGGGTTTGGCGTTGAGGGGAAGATATTCAACCTAACCAACACCGATATTCCTGCTGCCATAACCAAAAGGTGAAGATGGGCCAATTTTTTGTTTCACCGAAAGAGGAGAAGAGAAGAATTTAATGATTTCTGATTCAAGTTTATTGATGAATTTGGAACATCTTGACAAGCTTTGATAAGAAGGTGTTCTGATTCAGGTTTCGAGAGGTCAATGAGGGAAATTGTAGGAGGGAAAGTCTAAGGATTGACTGGTTTGCAGGTTTTGACAAAGAACTGTTTGATTGTGGGATTAGATAGAGCCACCATTGTTGAGTTGAAAATTTGCGAAGAAAAAAGATGAAGAAAAAGGAA